TGTAATTTACATCCCCTACCAAAACCAGTGGCTAAGTAAAATCAAAAATATATATTGTATTCTTTTGTACATCATTTCCGAAAAAAATAAAAATTTGTTTTAGTACAGCAAATACGATACTTATATCTTACTAGCATTTCATAAAGTATATATAATACAAGATTATAGATATAACTATATAATATACTTTTTAATTATAATACTTTATGACTGATATAATACATTATGACTGATTATTACTTTTGTTTTATTAACGTGTATGGTGTGAATTGTAACAACGGTGAACTACGGATTTCTAGAAAATGCCACACCACTAAGAGTCATGTACCTAATTTGCTCAAAAGTCAAAATGTTTTTTGTAAATTTTTTTTACCTACCTTTTTATTTTACTTCGAGAATGTTTACAACATTCAAGTTCAATGATGTATTATTACATTTCTTGAAGTCTGAAAAAAGCAAGCAAAGATCATTCTTTGGTAGGTATATTGATGTATCAAAATACCACTTCAAGAAAAACTTAACTCTTTAGTTGTGTAATCAGAAGAGACCGATGGAAAGAACTATCATTCAAGGATAATTAAATGACAAAAAATATGGATCGCTTGCCTATCCGTTTCATTGACCAAGCCATGACATTTAGCGTCAAGTCTCTATCTATGAAATGATAAGTATGAATCAAGATTGGGATAGATCACAAGTAAAGACCTTCAGTTTGAAAGTATACATATATTACCATCATGGGACCATGACACTCAAAATCAATTAACGGCGTTGAAAAACATAAAATAATAACTGCACATACCTCTGTATCTTGTAAGTAAGACCGAGTATTATAGTATACACCAATATCCACATCTATAATTTAATTTATTTAAAAATTATTTTTACCTAAACATTACATATTCAATTTTTATTATTGTTTTTTTCTTTTATTGAAAAAAAAAATACTTTTAATATTTATACTGAATTCTGCTAAGAGCCAAGTCATTTTGCTTTTGATAAATAAATCTAATACATTTGTTTCCATTTAATTTTTTATATCAACCCTTCGTATTAACCTTTAAAATAATATCTTAACTTAAATGTTTAATAAAATAAATATTTTTTTGTTAAATTTAAGCTAAAACCATTTACTTTAGCAAAAAATTTAAATCTAAATAATATTTATGTTATTAATTATTATATTTTGTAATTAAAATATTTTAAACTAGTGTAAATAAAGTTGGTGTGTATAAATATTTGTTCTATTTAATTGTAATCTTTGTACAAATAAAAGTTTAACATAATACCTAACCTAACCTAACTTTCTTTTTTTTTTCTCACATGCACCCATAGAATACCGGGAGAGGACGCGCCCTGTGAGGCTTTACTTCCTCCTAGTCTCTGATGCCATTTATTGGGTATAGTAAACAATAAATACAAACATGAACTTAAAAAATAACACACCCACTCCGGGTGGTGCCCTAATAACAATATTCACATTAGACCACATCGAAATTTAGTTACAAGTTTACTTACAGCTACCTTGAAAGTACTATACACTCAATTATGTTAGTCTATACAGGTTTATGTACAATCCAATCCCCGGTGAAATGTTTCCGGGCCGGTGACGCGCGCAAACGCCGGGGCTCTCAATTGGCCGGCCGCTGTCTAGCCCTCTCTGCTTCCTCCTTCTCTTTGAGGACCGACTCGGCAAAGCGGGCGACCGCGTTCCACGCATCAGGGCTTGCAATCATGTTGGCGACCAGTGTCTCCGGGACAACTTCGCCGACGACGTCCTGGAGGTTCCGCCTTTGGGACCTCCTAACCTAACCTAACCTAGGAGTCCAGATTTAACTTGTCTAGATTGTTTCCTCTGGAGATATTTAAAATATAAAGTTTGCGAAACTTAACCAGTAAGCTTAGATGACTTTAAAAACCAAATAAGGAATACATGTGGGGAAATAAGTTAAGATGAATTTAGCTAATGTTACATTAGGAAATCTTATGAGGCGAACGGAAATGTGTTTTAATCAAATTGGTCGATAATTTAAACATTTAATGTAAGCGTATAGCATTAGTAATAATTGAACCATCTATTAGAAAAATTAAGTAAGTCTTAAGTCTAAAAACTTTAACTCGGAGAATATTGCTACGCTATCGCCTACCGTATGAATTTTTATAGTGCACTAACCATTTGTAAAGTATGAAATATTTACTTTAAAGATTTTTACAAATAGTTCATTTTTTTTAAATTAAAGGTATGTTGTTTAAATTTTGATTAAATTTGATATTTTTCTCTACAACTTTACATAATAACTAAAGCAATCGTTAAGACTAGACCATTCTTTAAAGTTGTTTTTAATAATATTAATATTTTTTTTTAAATATTGACATGTTATTGTATTTACCTCAGTCTGAAATGCCTATTTCTTTTGAACCAGTCGGTCAAAAAGTTGTTTTTTTGTTCAAACATCATTATTTTTTTTGTACAAACGATAGAAAAAATTTGAACAAACAAAAAATATAAAAGGTCAGAAATTTAAAAAAAATGTGTTGATTTGTACGTAATAATGTATATATAATATAATATACATAAATGTTAAATTATATATTTATATATTATATTTATTATATTTTTTTATATATTTCGTTTATATATATTTATATAAACGAAGATATTAAATATATAAACCTTCGCCAGTTACAGCTTGTGGGAAAATATATAAAGACTAATTCAATAATTTTACAAGTGAAAAAGACGCATAAACAGCAACTTAAAACTGTCTCTAAAGTTTACATAAAAATCATAACAAGGGGTGATCTTCAATTCAGACCTATACAAACTCAAACACAGAAATCTGCAATATTAAAAGATATTTGACTGATAAAGGTATCTTTGCAAGCGGTCTCTTGCTATAAATTAGTCGACAAAAATAAATGGTGTGCTATTTTAAAGCTGTTAACTCCCTCTGTCTTCTGTCACATAGATTGTAATCTATTCGAAACTGGATTCCTATTATTATATATTTATATTACTGTATATTATATAATGGTTATACGGGGTATATGATAAAGGAAGTCGGTCAGACGCATTGTATTATTGTGAATCAGAGCAGATGTGTAAATTCCATCTGCTCTATTTCACAATAAGAGTGTTCCTTATTATTATTTTTTTTTTTAATTTAATTCAACGCCCCCCCCCCCCCCAAAAAAAAAAGGATTCAAGTTTTGAAAAAATATTCCTTATAACTCCGATAACAATAGTAAGCCGATTTCAAATACTCAATACCACAAAATACCAACAAACTTTAAATCAATTTCACTAAGGCGAGAACTGTGACGGTGGCCGCAACAACTTCTACCAAGTTGAGACCAAAATACTTGTAAAAAATGACTTTGACTATACTATATTGTAATTTAATTTAAACAATATACGGTGGAAATATTCTGTGGTGACGTGTCAAGGAAAACTAATGACAAATCGTTTATATATATATATATATATATATATATATATATATATATATATATAAATATATATTATATATAGGGTGATTCATCAAGGATAAGACACTAATTTTCTCAGAATATGTTAATATTTTGAACAATATATATTTCCAATATTTTTAGGTACACATTGTACTATATTTTGACAATTATTTATTACCAATTCTTATAAGCCAAATTGGGGGATTTTTGGTTTTTTTAAATGGCAACATATGTTTTCAATTACATACATTTGTAGAGAATAAAATAAAAAATATATCAGCGTTTGAATTTTTTATTTTCGTTTATCTGACAATTAGCTATGATTTTGTAAATATACTACATTTCCACTTAATAATTATCATATCTCTTCGATTTTCGAAAACCGGTAGCACATAAAATTCATATTTATGTTCGCACTGTCCAATTGGCGATAATATTCAAACAACTAAGAAGTCAAAAAAAAAGATTTTTAAATAATGATAGACTAACGGTTCCTATCTACAGATTACCTAATGCTATACCTACTACTACCTACTGGCTACTGCTATGGTGATAATACATAATATTTGTCGGTAACAGAAATTACCACTCTGTGGTCTTAAATCTAGTTGTCATTTTTTTTACAATATCTATACTCTACATTCAACAAGTATCAACACGGAACAGAATAATATGTTATTTGTTATTATTAAAATTATTATATTTTATAAAGTAAATAAATATCAATAACTAAAACGGTCGTTTACAATCGCATAAGTGTAACATGTGTGTGGACAACCATTGTGACGCGTCGCTATTATTTTTTAGTTAATTCAATTTATTTAAAAACATATTGCTCTATGCTCAAATAATTTACACAAATTAAAGAATTTTTATTTTTAAATAGTGGTTTAATATAAACCACTATTAATAAAATAATACAATAAAATGAACTGCCCAAAAGATAGTTTTACCTAAAGACACTAGATATTTGTAAACTGCGTAATAAAGTTAAGTATAGTAATCTTGTTAGTTATAATGGATACCAGAACTTTTAGTAAATATCAACTTAATTTAAGTCGGTAGTGCCGATAGTGGATTCGTAGAATTTTACGTGGTTTTCTGGTTTCCCATCCAGGATGATGGCAAAATAGACTCGACGTTACCGTAACGGTAAAATTGTCAACAACGTTGGCATTTTATTTTTTTTCAATAGTTATTTCTTATCATTGAGATTCTGTTCATTGATACTGTAATTGGTACTAACGAAAGTACCAATAAAATTATATTATTAAGCACACATGTCTATAATGGAATATAAATAATATAATATTTTTTTTTTATAGGGAAATAATTAATATATATTTTTTTTTAGCATACCGAGAGTAGGCCCTATTGTGGCCTAGTTCGGTCACCGAGAGAGCGCATGGTATTTCTACAATGCATAGCGTGGAGGGGGCAGTCTTTACTTCTAGTCAGGTTGTTTTGCCAGTAAGCAAGACCGCCCGTGAACGAATTCGACAGTACGCGTAGGAGCCTTAATCTGTCCGGCCACTCCGTACCGTTCGTAATTAATGTATTGATGTTCATTATAATAGATACAGTTTGTTAAAATCTGGGAAATGCTGTCACCTTACGACGAAGATAAGATGTGCACGTCGTAAATATATTACTCCTGATGAACCCAAAGATCTTCTTTTTTCATTACCAGATAACTGGAAAACAGCTACAATGGAAGGTAAGTCAACTTAATTTTAAATTTATGACGACGGAAGTGTACATCTCAATGTCTTGTACATTCTTCTGCTAATGTATGGTTTATGAATATTACATTAATGTGTTTCAGTATATTTGCTTAGTTGTACGTTATACGAGATAAATTTAAAAGAAATGTTAGACCATCTGAATACGATTTTATTCCAAATAAATTGTAAAATACTTATCAAGAAATATTAACAAATTATATTATAAAGACTTTTTTGAAATTAAAACATCTCTTAAGTCCCTAAAAAAGCGTTTAATTCCATACGTCATTCATAACACTGAAACACAATAGTGGGAAAGGGGGTATGAGTTATATTAAATTTAAGTTTGGGTCTACTGTCGGATTAAGGAATGCCTAATAAATATCCCTAAAAAATTCTATATTATTCAATTATTTTTCATACATTTGTGTTGTCTTCTTTTATTAAGGATAAAATATAAAAAAATATTAACTTTTAAACTTTCTTAAAACCTAACTAGATACCTGTAATAAAGATTGTAAGAATCGAATTAGGTTGTAGCAACTTAAGAGCTGCTGATTAAGTAAATTAAACCAATAGAAAAACAAATTCAACGGGTACAGAAAAAAAAACTTTATTAAAACATTTTAAAGTTTATTTTAATATTATTAGACTGCATAAGATATTATTATTATTGTATTGGTTATGTAGAAAAAAAAATTACATAATAAAAATGGTACTATTTAGTACATACTAATACTAATGCATCCGGTAAAACAGAACAATATGATTTAATGCAATTGTTAAAATTTGTTTACTTAATTAAATAAGCTTACATATTTACCCAATCTTATTCTTCTTCCATTTCTAAATTTGGTCTCAAGTCTGCTGTGGTCATTGTTATATCGTGGTTATCATGATGACCTTTTTTTTTTTTTTTCCATATCACATGCATCCATAGTAAAACTGGGGAGGTACTTGCCTGATGAGGTATTACCTCCCCCCAGTTTTTCCGACGCCATTTATTTTAAATAAACTTAAAACTTTGTTTTAGTGGGTGCTCCACACACCCACTTAACATTTGGCTTAGACCTAAACATGTAAACCTTAAATCTAAAACACCTTTCTCGAGTGGGGGCCCAATAACAATATGCACATTGGGCCCCGTAGGAATTGTATTTACATTTTTATCTTACAAAATACTTTATAAAACTATGCTACAATTATACTATTAACTTTTATACATGTTCTATGTTACAGCATCGCGATGTCTTCTCGGGCCGTTGACGCACGCACCCGCCGCCCTGGTCTATCCCGTTCACCCGTTGGGACGCTGTCTGTCCCGTTCTGCCTCTTCCTTTTCACGAAGGACGAGTTCCGCAAATGACCATGACGATCTATGTGTAAGCAAAATTTTAGTTAACACAATTATTTTATTTCAATTTTTAAAATAAAATATCAGCGGGAATTACCTGTAGAACTTTGTGACGCAATAGTTTCCAAATGATGGTACTGTAATGTGTTTTGATCATTCTGTAATTTTGACTCTTTACGCCACTTGACTTTTCTGTTTTGAAACCAAACCTAAACAACACAATACATGTTTAGTCAAACCTTCGACTTTCATGGTTTTATTTAGAAAAGAGGTATTTGGTCTTAAAGTTACACCTCTTTCAAAAATTACAAGTAAGGTTAGGTGCAGGGATATTTTCAAGAAAAATGATGGTACCGAGTTAAAATATATAATGAATTTTTATTTGTTGTACCTCTATACGCTAAAAGTCTCGAATTTAAGTTATACCTTATCCCCTCCCAAGAGTGTTAGACGGTTTTTTACTCATAATTTTAAAACCTTTTAGTTGAAAAATTGGGAAGCGATAAGAATTTTATGTGTCCATAACATGTCGAACTGAAAAAAAAATAGAGTACTGATTTTTTTTAATTGCCAAATAACTGTTTTTTGTAGATTTTGTAAATTTTAACACGTTTTAACTTCGAAGAAATTGTCAAGTCATGTCAATAATTTTATGTACACATAGGAATCTAAAAAGTTGAAATTATCTTATTAAGTTTTTGTACGTTTTTATTATTTCGAAAATTAAAACAGGCGTGCTTAAGAATTAATAACGGTAACTTAATTTTTTCAGTTTTCAAATTTCTAGTATGAGGTGGCCTACTTATTGGACAAATAAATTTGCATCAAACTACAATTCAAGTAAGAACTTTTTATATTTTTCTATCTTTTGCCCCTTAAGAGGACGCCACACCGGTCATAAGATAGAAAAATATATAAAGTTCTTACTTGAATTGTAGATTGATGCAAATTTATTTGTGTAGCCAGATTTTCTCTTTCAAAAATAGTAGGGTAACAGTGTTAATTGGATCAATTTTTCCATTTCAAAAATTTGATGTTCTGAAAATGCTGTTCTTTTTCTATTTTGTTTGTCGTTTTCTACATTTTTTAGAGTTAGTGACGTTGAGCGTGAAACTGTGTACAAAACGACAAACAAAAAAGAAAAAGAACAGCATTTTCAGAACATCAAATTTTTGAAATGGAAAAATTGATCCAATTAACACTGTTACCCTACTATTTTTGAAAGAGAAAATCTGGCTACACAAATAAATTTGCATCAATCTACAATTCAAATAAGAACTTTATATATTTTTCTATCTTAAAATTGAATTATGAAATAAATTGAATTATCTAAAAAATAATAGCGACGCGTCACAATGGTTGTCCACACAAATGTTACACTTACGCGATTGTAAACGACCGTTTTAGTTATTATTATTTATTTACTTTATAAAATATAATAATTTTAATAATAACAAATAACGTATTATTCTGTTCTGTGTTGATACTTGTTGAATGTAGAGTATAGATATTGTAAAATAAATGACAACTAGATTTAAGACCACAGAGTGGTAATTTCTGTTACCGACAAATATTATGTATTATCATCATAGCAGTAGCCAGTAGGTAGCAGTATGTATAGCATTAGGTAATTTGTAGATAAGAACCGTAAGTCTATCATTTTTTTTAAATCTTTTTTATTGACTTCTTAGTTGTTTGAATGTTATCGCCAATTGGACAGTGCGAACATAAATATGAATTTTTTGTGCTACCGGTTTTCGAAAACCGAAGAGATATGATAATTATTAAGAGGAATTGTAGTATATTTACAAAATCATAGCTAATTGTCAGATAAACGAAAATAAAAAAATTCAAACGCTGACATATTTTTTATTTTATTCTCTACAAATGTATGTAATTGAAAACATATGTTGCCATTTAAAAAAACCAAAAATCCCCCAATTTGGCTTATAAGGATTGGTAATAAAAATTGTCAAAATATAGTACAATGTGTACCTAAAAATATTGGAAATATATATTGTTCAAAATATTAACATATTCCGAGAAAATTAGTGTCTTATCCTTGATGAATCACCCTGTATATAATATATATATATATATAAACGATTTGTCGTTAATTTCCCTTGACACGTCACCACAGAATATTTCCACCGTATATTATTTAAATTAAATTACAATATAGTATAGTCAAAGTAATTGTTTACAAGTATTTTGGTCTCAACTTGGTAGAAGTTGTTGCGGCCACCGTCACAGTTCTCGCCATAGTGAAATTGATTTAAAATTTGTTGGTCTTTTGTGGTATTGAGTATTTGAAAACGGTTTACTATTGTTATCGGGGTTATAAGAAATATTTTTTCAAAACTTGAATCCTTTTTTTTTGGGGGGGGGGGCGTTGAATTAAATTTAATAAAAAAATAATAATAAGGAACACTCTTATTGTGAAATAGAGCAGATGGAATTTACACATCTGCTCTGATTCACAATAATACAATGCGTCTGACCGACTTCCTTTATCATATACCCTGTATAACTATTATATAATATACAGTAATATAAATATATAATAATAGGAATCCGGTTTCGAATAGATTACAATCTATGTGATAGAAGACAGAGGGAGTTCACAGCTTTAAAATAGCACACCATTTATTTTTGTCGACTAATTTATAGCAAGAGACCGCTTGCAAAGATACCTTTATCAGTTAAATATCTTTTAATATTGCAGATTTCTGTGTTTGAGTTTGTATAGGTCTGAATTGAAGATCACCCCTTGTTATGATTTTTATGTAAATTTTAGAGACAGTTTTAAGTTGCTGTTTATGGGTCTTTTTCACTTGTAAAATTATTGAATTAGTCTTTATATATTTTCCCACAAGCTGTAACTGGCGAAGGTTTATATATTTAATATCTTCGTTTATATAAATATATATAAACGAAATATATAAAAAAATATAATAAATATAATATATAAATATATAATTTAACATTTATGTATATTATATTATATATACATTATTATGTACAAATCAACACATTTTTTTTTAAATTTCTGACCTTTTGTATTTTTTGTTTGTTTAAATTTTTTCTATCGTTTTTACAAAAAAAATAATGATGTTTGAACGAAAAAACAACTTTTTGACCGACTGGTTCAAAAGAAATAGGCATTTCAGACTGAGGTAAATACAACAACATGTCAATATTTAAAAAAAAATATTAATATTATTAAAAACCACTTTAAAGAATGGTCTAGTCTTAACGATTGCTTTATTTATTATGTAAAGTTGTAGAGAAAAATATCAAATTTAATCAAAATTTAAAACTTTTAAGTGAGCCATCTATTTGAGAAACAACATACCTTTAATTTAAAAAAAATGAACTATTTGTAAAAATCTTTAAAGTAAATATTTCATACTTTACAAATGGTTAGTGCACTATAAAAATTCATACGGTAGTCGATAGCGTAGCAATATTCTCTGAATTAAAGTTTTTAGACTTAAGACTTACTTAATTTTTCTAATAGATGGTTCAATTATTACTAATGCTATACGCTTACATTAAATGTTTAAATTATTGACCAATTTGATTAAAACACATTTCCGTTCGCCTCATAAGATTTCCTATTGTAACATTAGCTAAATTCATCTTAACTTATTTCCCCACATGTATTCCTTATTTGGTTTTTAAAGTCATCTAAGCTTACTGGTTAAGTTTCGCAAACTTTATATTTTAAATATCTCCAGAGGAAACAATCTAGACAAGTTAAATTTGGACTCCTAGGTTAGGTTAGGTTAGGAGGTCCCAAAGGCGGGACCTCCAGGACGTCGTCGGCGAAGTTGTCCCGGAGACACTGGTCGCCAACATGATTGCAAGCCCTGATGCGTGGAACGCGGTCGCCCGCTTTGCCGAGTCGGTCCTCAAAGAGAAGGAGGAAGCAGAGAGGGCTAGACAGCGGCCGGCCAATTGAGAGCCCCGGCGTATGCGCGTGTCACCAGCCCGGAAACATTCCACCGGGGATTGGATTGTACATAAACCTGTATAGACTAACATAATTGAGTGTATAGTACTTTCAAGGTAGCTGTAAGTAAACTTGTAACTAAATTTCGATGTGGTCTAATGTGAATATTGTTATTAGGCCACCACCCGGAGTGGGTGTGTTATTTTTTAAGTTCATGTTTGTATTTATTGTTTACTATACCCAATAAATGGCATCAGAGACTGGGAGGAAGTAAAGCCTCACAGGGCGCGTCCTCTCCCGGTATTCTATGGGTGCATGTGAGAAAAAAAAAGAAAGTTAGGTTAGGTTAGGTATTATGTTAAACTTTTATTTGTACAAAGATTACAATTAAATAGAACAAATATTTATACACACCAACTTTATTTACACTAGTTTAAAATATTTTAATTAAAAATATAATAATTAATAACATAAATATTATTTAGATTTAAATTTTTTGCTAAAGTAAATGGTTTTAGCTTAAATTAAAAAAAATATATTTATTTTATTAAACATTTAAGTTAAGATATTATTTTAAAGGTTAATACGAGGGTTGATATAAAAAATTAAATGGAAACCAATGTATTAGATTTATTTATCAAAAGCAAAATGACTTGGCTCTTAGCAGAATTCAGTATAAATATTAAAAGTATTTTTTTTTCAATAAAACAAAAAAACAATAATAAGAATTGAATATGTAATGTTTAGGTAAAAATAATTTTTAAATAAATTAAATTATAGATGTGGATATTGGTGTATACTATATTACTCGGTCTTACTTACAAGTTACAGAGGTATGTGCAGTTATTATTTTATGTTTTTCAACGCCGTTAATTGATTTTGAGTGTCATGGTTCCATGATGGTAATATATGTATACTTCCAAACTGATGGTCTTTACGTGTGATCTATCCCAATCTTGATTCATACTTATCATTTCATAGATGGAGACTTGACGCTAAATGTCATGGCTTGGTCAATGAAACGGATAGGCAAGCGATCCATATTTTTTTTGTCATTTAATTATCCTTGAATGATAGTTCTTTCCATCGGTCTCTTCTGATTACACAACTTAAGAGTTAAGTTTTTCTTGAAGTGGTATTTTGATACATCAATATACCTACCAAAAAATGATCTTTGCTTGCTTTTTTCAGACATCAAGAAATGTAATAATACATCATTGAACTTAAATGTTGTAAACATTCTCGAAGTAAAATAAAAAGGTAGGTAAAAAAAATGTACAAAAATCATTTTGACTTTTGAGCAAATTAGGTACATGACTCTTAGTGGTGTGGCATTTTCTAGAAATCCGTAGTTCACCGTTGTTACAATTCACACCATACACGTTAATAAAACAAAAGTAATAATTAGTCATAATGTATTATATCAGTCATAAAGTATTATAATTAAAAAGTATATTATATAGTTATATCTATAATCTTGTATTATATATACTTAATGAAATGCTAGAAAGACATAAGTATCGTATTTGCTGTAATAAAACTGATTTTTATTTTTTTCGGAAATGATGTACAAAAAGAATACAATATATATTTTTGATTTTACTTAGTCACTTAGGTTTTGGTAGGGGATGTAAATTACACACTGTCTCCTGATTAATTTGATTTAATAGACAGGGTGGGGTGGGCTTTATATACATAGATTTTGTATTTTCATAAAAGCGCTAACACAGCCATCACAACCGTCCCTTCCATAGCCTAATTGCAATATCGAAGGGAAGCATAATAAATATAATGTAGTTTGTAAATACAATAAACGTCATGTTTGACATTATTATTAATAACATCCGGTAGGCGTTTAGAGTTCCGGGAAAAGTTCAAACAAATTATCAGAGCACACAATATAATTGTTGCACCATGCAGCAAAATAATA